CTCTCTCTCTCTCTCTCTCTCTCTCTCTCTCTCTCCAGAACTAGGGATTGAACTCAGGCCCTTGCGCTCGCCAGAGAAGCACTTATTCCACTGAGCCATCTCCCAGCCCCAATTCTCTTGTATTATTCTTGAGATGCATTTCAATGTTTGGAAAATTCCAAGGGGTAAGAAATTATATTTTCAGTGTCTTCATGGAGCCAGTGAGCAGAGTAGACACTCGGGAGAAGGTTGAAGGTTATTTCTTGACTTTCATCTTTAGGTGCAAATGGCCCACAAACCTTCACACTTTGCATCCTCTTAGTTTTTCGAGAGCCCTGGCTGGGAAGTGAGGGTCTGTGTCTCTTCCTAAAACCTACTTTGACCTTTCTTAGAGTGATGGTTCCAAGACAAACAAATGGAAATGCAGAGCCAGGCAGTCTCTGCAATCCAAAGCCTCCAGAAGGGTCTTGCTGAGTGCTGTTTCTCTCACTTCAGCACATGAGGATCTGCACGGGAGTTGCTCTCTGTTCCTGGGGAGTGGGAGGCAGCAGTAATGGCTGGTTTTTAGCCTTCAAGGAAGCTGCCCAGGGTCAGAATCCTGGAGCTCGATGGATACCCGGCTGCCTTGACAATCTACTAGGCCAGAGGCCACACACCTGCTGGATGTGGGTTCACTTCAGAGAGCCCCAACGGGATGAGAGGAGTGTGCTTCCTGAGCCCTTCTCTTCTCTCCATTTGGCCTCACTTGGCACCTTCCCAGGGGGTCTCCCAGAGGCAAAGATAATTTAGGCACAACCTCTACTGGTGGTGTTATGTGCACAGAAATTAGGACTCCAGGGTCAGCTTCCTCAGTGTGAGCTGAAAGATGGCAGATCCCCCAGTCTAAGAGTGTAACTGTGAGTTTTCTGTATGTCCACAGGCAGAAGAGGGGGAGAAACGCCATGCCCACTCCCACTTGTACACAGAAATCCCGTGGCGCCCCAGGCAAATGGCCAATGGCTGCGGTTACCGCTCCTGGAAATTCAGCCTACACTGGAAATTGCAGCCCTGCAATACAAAGAGCACGTTCTCACTCTAGGGCTAGGACAGGACCAGGGAACTGACCTGCGCCTCTCCTAATGAGAAATGAAGGCTACTGGCCAGTTGGTAAGGTTACAAATTTATGTTGACAGGGTTTATAACACTTAGAACTTCATGTGCTTCTATTAATTCTGCTTTTGAATTTCTGTAGTTTCAACTGAAAGTTTCTAAGTTTCCATTTTGAACTTTATGACCGTGTGTGTGTGTGTGTGTGTGTGTGTGTGTGCGCGCGCATGCGCTGCACTGCACCACTGAGGTCACTGGCAGACCTCTTCTGCTTTTAAAAAATAACAGTCTCTAAATAACAATTTAAATAGAGTTTTGGTGGCAACTGCTCAGTTTTTCTCCATAAAATAAAAAGTATCTCTTTCCTCATGTCAGTGTATTTCAGAATTTGCTGTGCGGTCCATCCACATTTCAACCTCCCAGCTGTGTTTGCATCAAAGTAAGTTCTTGGGCCTCTTCTCGAAGCTTCCATGACACTGTATAGTGTGGGAAGGGGAGCAAACACCTCCTGTGAGCCCCAAGGAGAAACACTGGCAGACTTTGCTGGGAGCTGTCGGGTACTTGAAGAAAGCTCCTGCTAAGCAACCTGAAAAGCACTGAGTAATATTAAACACGCATCTGAAAAAGCACAGCCCTTAATGCCATGCCAGACACACCCTTTTGGCAGAAGTACAGACACAAAATAACTAGTGCACTAAAGTAGTGAGAAAGGAAACACACGATGATGCACGTTGCCCGTCTGAGCTCTTCTTTGGTCCCTGTGAGCAGGTTTCAAGAAGTCCTGGAGATGTAAGCCAAGTCACAAAATACTTACTGAGTGAACAGCTCATACAGACCTGCCTTCGGCCTGTTTTGTCTTTTAAAGACAGGGTTTTGCAATGCAGTTCGGGCTGGCCTGGATACGAAGCCATTTGTATCCCAGAATGCCCTGAAACTCACGGCCATCCTCCCTCCTCCTCCTCTCGGTCAGATTACAGGTGTGCACCACCAAACCGAGCTGGATCTGTTTCTTTATTTACTTATTTATTTTTATTTTAAAGAGAAACCAAAGGATAAACTTTCAAAACTAGATAATAGGAGAGTCACAATGGTTAGTACATTGTGTATTATCTATAAATTAGTAACTCAGAGTTCATGATAGCAGCATTTAATTGTCTAAACAGTATCAGCACAACTTGATCTGTTTTGAATGGCTATTTTTCCACTATTCCTTTTAAGTTTTTAAAGATAAGGTGTAACTTACAGACAGTAAACTTTTATGTATACACCCCCCGCTCGCACCATCACGTCAAGATGGAGACCCTGAGGAGCCCCACAGCAGAGCCTAGGTCTTCTCACAGTAAGCCACACAAGAAACTAACCCCCTTCTTACCTCTCTCCCTACCATTCAGTTTTGCCAGCTTTTGACTTTGGAATAAAAGAAATAGCACTGTCACTGTCCAATCTTGGCTTTTGTGCTTGGCTTTCTCTCACTCAGTATTGTCACTGGAAAACTCAGTGATGTTGTGTGCATCACTGTTTGGTTCTTCAGATGGCCAGATAGCTCTGCAGGGCACAACTGTGCCTTTCTGCACTGGCAAATAATTAGTGTTCTTCTTTGTCTTTCTGTCTTTCTGTCTTTCTTTCTTTCTTTCTTTCTTTCTTTCTTTCTTTCTTTCTTTCTTTTTAGCTGTGGGCTGCAATGGTTAAATCTTCAACAACACGTGCATACATGAACTTTGGTGGGCAGAAGCTCTCATTTGCATTGGGGATGCATAGCAGGACTAGAACTGTGGAGTTACAAGGTACATGTGTGTTCAGCTTCTGTAGCAGGAAAAGGACGCTCCTCCTTTAAGTGCTTTACTCATTGCCCCTTCCACTCTCTCCTTCTCCCTTTCTTTTTCTTTTTATTCTCTCTCTCTCTCTGTTTCTCTCTCTGAGTCTCTGTCTCTCTCTGTCTCTGTCTCTCTGTCTCTGTTTCTCTTTATCTCTCTCTGTCTCTGTCTGTCTCTGTCTCTCTCTCTGTCTGTCTCTCTGTCT